CAAGCTGCCCAGACTTGTACGCTACGATGGCTATTGACAATTTCGCATTGTAAGAAGGGACCAAATTGTCACAAGCCGCCGTCTAGAGTTGAGAACAAACCTTCGATAACGAGTAATACGAAAAAGTACAGCCGCTCTCTCACTCTCGGCGTGAGATGAGAATGTGAAAAAAAGTAGTCGATACCTTGCATTCCTTGAAGTACGCGTGGATAACAAGCATCGAGAGCAAACGTCAACCAAAGCGAAGACCACGGGCGCAGCCATGTTGCCGAAAATCGCCACGCTGGCTTCCGGGCGACAAGCGATCTTTTTCACTTTTTCATAAACGCGTGACGCGATAAGCAGCGGCGATGGATGGGCCTCCACGACAACAAATCTCTTGTCGCTCATCGCTGCCGTAGGTCGTTGTCGTGGGGGAATCGCGTGCATGAAGTTAGAGCTTAAAGATGCGCTATGCCGCAGTAGAACATTGAAAGGCCAGTGAATAACAATAACAGCCGTTTCCGGCTTCGAACTGCGATCAACGGTAGATGGTGTACTGCTAGGGGGCGTAGACAGGCAGTTTGGCACGAACTGGCGAGGACCGCAAATTTTTGTGGTTGACTATATAGACGAAGCATGAAGACGAAAGCGAAGCCGGAGAGTAGAGACAAAAGAAACAGTGCTGCATCAGTGGACGACAGCACGCAGCAACAGCTAGTAGATTGTCATCACGCCTGAATGCAATGCACCGCACAACAGACGGCCCAACGTCATACACGCTACTCAAAGTGTTCTCTTCATCATAACATACATTTTTCAGTCACTTGTAACGCATAAACGAATCCACAATTTTTGTCTAAAAACGTTGAAAGTACTGTATAGTGTTCATCGCGGCTAAAAGTAAGGCCAAATGTAGCAAAAATTTGAAAAAAATGGCATCATGAATTATCAAGGTCATCAGACCAAAGGAAACAAAAATGGCACAGCTAAATATGCAGTATTGGTATTAAGGTTTAAGATACCACGAAAGTGGTGAACCTATCGTCCTTGTTTCCCTCCTCCTCATCCTTATATAGCTCCTTCTCATGCTCACGTATGTTTCCCACCCCCTCGCTATTCTATATGATACACAGCTATTCTATACTTTCTTCCTGCCTCGTTGTGTTTCTTTTCATTTCTTTCTTTCCTTTTTTCTCTTTTTCCATCTCACCAATTCTGCATGTTTTTTTATCTGTTTTCCTTTTTTGCCACATTGCTTTTCTCTCACCCTCAGCGACGCAATCTTATGGAACCCTTCAATGGCCTACATTCGAAACGCTCGAGCAGCGGCCATAGTCAGATAAAACTGCATCGCTACGCCGTTTCACGTTGAGAGACATCGCAGTGCATGTGCGCGTCCTTTCACGCTCGCAACCATGTGTCGCTTGCAGCGAACTTGCTGATTAAAAGTATCGTTTGCGGTAAAGGCGCTTTCTTTTTTCAATCCGTCACACAATCCATTCAACGGTGACACGGCTGGCGTGAAGCGCGCGCTGCTCAATTTTCTCGATTAAAGTGTTTCCATATACAGGATTAGTTGTCTTCTGTGCATGTTTTTTGTACGTGCGTGTATGTGAAAACGCACTGCGTACTATTGAAATAGAAACCAGGGCACCGAAATCAAACAAACGTTGAGCCGAAAACATTTTTCAGATTACTTTCACAAAATGAGCAAGTCCCGATGCTATACGCATTAGCTGTCGCATAAAGGTGAAACAAGTGGTGAATTGAATAAAATGACAAGTTACGGACCACAGGAGAATAGAAATGTATTGAGGCGTTTCACCACCCAGAACGGGAAACTCGATCGAAATGAAAATCCGCGAGCGGTGTACCCTTCACCGCCAGCTTGTCTGCGTCGAAATCAGCACTCGATGGATTGGAAAAAAAAGCGACCCCCATAAAGCTACATGTAATCAGCTCGCATATTGCTAGCTAGTAAAACCGCGAGTGTGAAAGGATACACACGCACACTGGGATGTCTCGACACAAGAGGCTCAACGTCAGACGGCGTGACGATTCAGTGTTTCATTTTGTTTTTATTTTATTTTATTTACCCTAAACGCCCGAAGGCATTACATAAGGGAGGGGGGGCAAGATAGGTTTTCTTAAAACGTTTCACATAAAAACAAGAAAAATAGTGGTATTCATTTATTCGTGCATATAGACATGCATGTGAAGTCAGTCAAGAATATGCAAGAGAACAAAAAATACTCACAGAAAGGAAAAAAGGACTGCTAAACAACATACGTACAATTTATCTATAAATACGGAAAAAATCAATGAAAGAAGAAGAAAAAGAAACGTTTACAAAGAGCACTTGCGGAGCAAAGATCATACACAATTTACATACAAATGTGGGCAAGGCAGGCAGAAAGTAAAGTATTTACAAAAAAGCAATACAGTGATTCGGACATATACGTACTAAAATGTTAGATGATTCCTGTTATGAAGTGAAATATTATTTGACGAAGTTAAAATGTTTCAGAATCTGTAAGAGCGTGGTTGATCGTCTGAATGATTTGTGTGTGGCAATAAAAACTGTTTAAGCATTTCTGAATATCTGTCAGCATTTATTTCTTCAGCTGTAGATCTCGGCAATTGATTGCGCTCTTGGATAGCCAAATGAAAAAAAAAAAAACGAAGTAGATCAGTACGGGCGAATGGTCGACCAACTCTAACGGAATGATCGAAGCGTGGAAAGTTTTGCATTTGGCGTCCTTATCAATAAGGTAGCAAAAGGTGAAGGGTTGTGATATAACTTATGGAAGAAAACTAAACGAGACACCTTTCGTCTGCATTGTAGTGTTGCAAGGTCAAGGCTCTGTTTTATTTTAGATGCGCTTGAATAGGAAGAATGTTCGGAGGTGATAAACCTAGCAGCTTTGTTTTGTAATGATTCTAGCCTCTTAATGATGTATGATCAGTGAGGGTTTCAAATATTTGAACAGTACTCAAGTTTAAATTGAACTAATGAGTTGTAGTCAAGAAGTTTCGTGTCTTTATTAGCTTGGCAGAGTGTGCGTTTAAATAAACCAAGAGTTCGGATTGATTTACGGAATACCCAGTCAATAAGTGTGTTCCAGGTCAAATTCGAAGTTAAACATCCAACTACTTAAATGACTCAACTGCATGAATGGTCTCATTATTATTGTGTAGGCGTGCAACACTAATTTATTGCTAGTAGTAAACCGCGTGGGTGCGTGTTAAAGAACCCCAGGTGGTCTAAATTTAGGGAGCCCTCCACTACGGCGTATCTCATCATCACATGGTGGTTTTGGGACGTGAAACCTCACATACCAATCATCAATCAGTAGTAAACTGCATAAGTTTTGTCTTCTTATTGTTAATACTCATCTTCCAGTCGTGACATCACTCACCCAATTTTCGCAAGTCATTATTTAGTTTTTCACAATAATTTTGGCGAGAAACAACACAATAAATAACGTAATCGTCAGCAAATAGATGAATTCTTGAGTTTACACCCATGTGAATATTGTTAATAAAAATTAAGAACAAAGTTGGTCCCAACACTAAACCCTGGGGTACACCGAGCATGACAGGTATGAAGTCGGAAACAAGGCTCTCAATCAAGACCACTTGGCGCCTATCATGCAAATACTCTTGAACCCAATCAATCACCTATGTGTCTATTTGACAAGTCTTCATTTTATGTATCAAACGCATGTGACCAACCCTGTCAAAGGCTTTTTTCAAAATCAATGAAGACAGCATCAGTTTGCATTAGTTCATGCAAATGGGTATGAATTTCGGTAGTTAAGTCGAAAAGCTGTGTCTCGCTTCTAAGGTCACTAAAAGTCAGTTTAATATAAGGTCAAGAAATATCCAGGGATTTCAGATTTATCCGAGTGTGGTCACCGCTCGCTCGTTCAGACTCATTTTGGCGAGGGCGTACATATTTTTATGGAAGACTTAACAGGGCAAGTTAAGGGAAAAAGAAGGCTTCAAGAGATGAGGAATCGTCAGACAGCGAATGCCGCTGGAGACAGTGTTTCGAAAGTTTACTTGTCTTCATCGTAGAAGCAGCATGTCTAGGCGAAATCTGAATTTTCAAGACGTTGTCTTCCGCTGACTTATCTCCTAAATGACCTCTCACAACTTTCAAAACATTACACGTGTTTCGGTAGCAGTATTAGAAGTGAATATTCACAAAATATTTAACTAATGAGTTTAAAATTGCCATTCACAAGCATGAAGCATGGCCGTAAACAAGGAGCCTATAATTCTTTTCATATTTTGAACTACTATAATATACTATAATAAACTATAATATGAACACAAAACTATAATATGAACACATTGTGCTGCCGAAAGAACACACAGAGCTTATTTAAGTCCAGTAAGTCTTGCGAAGAACCGGATTTACTGACGTACTGACGTATTACTTGCCCCACCGCGGTAGTTATATAGTGGCTAAGATACTCTGCTGCTGACCTACAGGTCGCGAGATCAAATCCCTGCTGCGGCGGCTGCAATTCCGATGGAGGCGGGAATGTTGTAGGCCTGTGTGCTCAGATTTGGGTCCACGTCCACTACACCAAAACTGGAAATGCCGGGCCTGAAACCCCTCCGAGCAGAGTGAAACGTTTCATGCCTGCAAAATACTTCGCGAACAAGCTTTACGTGGCCTACAGTAGTTCTGCACGCTGCGCGCATGAGGTCTTTCTAATTTTTTCAGTGTTCATTCTTGGTGTGCAAACCGAGCGAGATATCTAGGCCTCTTTCGTGTTGTGATACCGTTGAGCGAGTGGCGACGGTGAGCGGAGGCAAGTGCTATAAACACAAGTGAACCACTTTCTGTGCTTTGCGAAGTTAAAACTGTGAAGATAAGAAATAAAAATAAAATTACACGAAGAAGGTATTTACCAGTAAATCAAATTTTTCAAGTTGCAAAAGTTTGTGAAAGGCAACAGATCCGAACAATCACATCGGTAATATTTCGTTCCACCATGTTTTAGAATGTCTGGCGACCACTACGCAATAAGTTCTCGGGACCTGCCGTTGCAGCCTTAAAGGTGAGCTCGTGATGTGCGTCTGCAAGATAATGAATGCGAAGCATTTTTTGCGCACTGCAAGTCCTTTGAATATCTATCTATCTATCTATCTATCTATCTATCTATCTATCTATCTATCTATCTATCTATCTATCTATCTATCTATCTAGCCACTTACGTCCTGGGTGCCTTCATGATCACACGATTAACATAGTGTGAACCAAAATTACTATGTGAGGGCAATATGCATGGTTGACGGATATGACGCACTGGTCAGGAAGAGAATAATATTACGATCCCGTCACGTACGTCGTCAAACACTTTCCGCCAAACAGTGGTACTACATGCGGTAACATACTCGGGGTTAAATATGTGCCACAGGTGATGGTCACTTTGTATCTGCCCGAGAATTACCAGAACGCATATGGGTAATATTAACGCTAAGCGTCAAGACTTAGCGGACATGAGCAGCATTGCCCAGACGACTGCGAATAATTAATTTCAGGGTCCCAGCAAGAATCGAACTTCAGCATTCTGCGTGGTAATTAAGTATTCTACCGCTCAGCCACGCCAGGTCTCGGAACTACTTTTCAAATAGACCCTAATGTTCGTAAAACGTCAATTGCCGTTGCAGCACGTGCTATCGAATTTTATAAGCATTACACATCTACCCCTGTGACAGAGCCGTTATGCGTGGTAAACGTCAATTAAAGTTAGTTGCCATCCGCTGAAGTTGATTTATTTAAAAGTGTCCGGGTTAGCATCCTCGTGAGCACCAGTGCTTCATATCAGCCTATCGCGTCATGAGGTGCTAATACTCCCGTTTTTTTGTCATCGTTGCGCAGGTAAACAACAACTGGTTATAAGAACACCTGCGAGCATTCAACATATGGCTGTGCGTGCACCATTTGTACATTTATTCAGCGTCATTTCAAGCCATATAAATCAATAAAAAAACAACACTGTCATCTTCCCTCCGCATGCTTCGCATAACGTTAATTACAAAGGTACGAGAGATCTGACTAATTTTGACACCTCAGAGTCTGTTATCAAAGCAACACTCGAGAAAAAAATTGGCAAATCTTGAAGTTATGTGCAAAAATACAGCTACAGTGAGATTAGCATATACAGACACTTAAGAGGCTTGTTCTGAATCACGACAGGTTTTGGCTTGCCGATGAGAGACTGAAAAAAAGCGAGCGTCACTTCGGAAGTTTTCATAAAACAGCATTTATATGGTCAACGACGGAAAGTAACGACTGATCTTTTTAATACGCATGAGCGAATAAAAGCCAATGCAAAGTACAGTGGCATCGTAGAACTTTGCCTGAAAACACGCATGACCCACCAAATTAGGACGCCTTTTCATACATATATCCAGGATAATAACGGGCAGCCTACATTTAATAAACTGAATATGCGACATTATCGAGGCAACCTGCCTTTAGAAGTGCATGAGAGCCAAACTCCTGCCTTCCGCTTCAAGTTTGAAGAACGACGGGTTTATGCGTTACGCTTGAAACACATACACCTGTGTCCTCGTTTAAAGTGTCTTCTCAATGAGTAGTGGCATACACTTCATTTAGAGCCAGCAGTGGTTAGGAGGAGGATGGGGGTGCACTAATTACTCTGCTTAGGCAGCGGCCAGGTGCCCTTGGGCACTGGCGTCGTCTTCGGTGAACTGGACGGTCCAGCGTCGATCTTCGGGCGTAGGGCTGAGAGCAGCACCATCTTTCCCCCTGCTCTGCATTAGTGATCTTGCAGCCATGAATGTTCGCCCTGGGCAGAGGCCCACACGATATATGATAGACCCGTCATTTTATTGCATGATTTATATTTGGGTGAGTACTGGCTCGGCTGGCAGCGATGAAGAGCCACAGTATTCGTGTACATGTATGCCTGTAGGGGGCGAGAGGCAACCGCTTGCTGCTCGGTAAATGACGAGGGGCCGGTAGCCCTTTGAAACCCGCAATAATCTTTATAGCTAGGTATACTTGAAAAGCTCCATGTCCTACGTATAACGGAATGGTAGCTTTACTAGTTGCGCATACTTGTAGCACTAGTTCTGGTGTCAACGTTTTAAGAAATGTGCAACTCGGAGCGTCTAAGTCACCAGGCAAACTGTTTCTATAAGTTCTGCAGGATCGTTTTACTTCCGTCTTTTGCGGAACGGCACGCTGCAACAGGAGAGGCTTAGTGATGAACAAAACTCAGCGTCAGTGAAAAGAACATTTTCTTTTGTTTGTTTTTCTACATTTTCTCTCATTACTGGCAACCAAACGGTCATCACGCATGAAGATAAAATTTGTGGTATAAAAATAAACTAAGGGATGGCCACCCGAACAACGCTAAAAGTGCAACCAAGTTCAAGCAAATGCGATTATTTTGTTTTCCTGCTGAACGTTATTATGTAGGAAAAAGGATGGCACTAAATATTCATACACTTAGAAACAGACTCCTATTCACTCCTAAAGAGGCTTTAGATGGGTCAATCAATCAATATTTTTTATTTTAAAATAGTGTAAAAAATAAGACTATACAGAAGGAGGTCCCGTAGCGCACGCTGAAATAGAACCTCCGAGGGGCACCAAGAGCACGTTGAAGCGGTTTATTGACAAAAAAATGGGTACGTTGCTGACGTAATTTGAGCTGACCGGTCATCGCTTTTTCGTCTAAAAATTAAAAAAAAATGTGGAAAGGTCATATATATATAATACAGGGGACATACAGTAAGCTTAAAAACACGCCTTAGATATGCGAATTCAAAACACTCCATGACTCATACTGTCAGTGTTCAGTGATCCCTTGTTGGAAAAACTGAAGTGGCCAATTGTGTAATTTCGTTAGGCCCAAACAAAGTCGCTCTTAATTTTATCTGAAACAACGCTAAATTATTTTCTCTGCATATCATCCCAACGACAAAATAGGTATGCGCACGAGGTTGCCAAATGAACTACACTGTTTCACTACAGCTCAAACTCGCGGCGCCACGATGCTGAAAAAAATCATTCAGCCCATACGGCCAATTGATCGAGTTTAAAATCATGTGTCCGCGCAGTGCCAATACCGAGAGGAAAAATGAAATAAAACAAAACAAAATAAGCAAAAAAAAGTTTCAAGAGGTTGGCTTATCTAGTGAAGTTGACGTCTGATCGACCCCCCCCCCCCCCAAAAAAAAAAAACAAAAAACGAAAGAGAGCCACCCACATGAAATATCGCTGCCGGCTTTCTGCAGACTTCTCGTACTCTTTCTTTCGTTCACCACCTAATGGGTAGCTGATCACAAACGAACTTGGTTCACTTCAACCTCAGCTTTTATTTACCGTCACTTTCACCGCGGCTTTCAAGGCACCCACGAAAGGCGCTTAGCGCCTTCCATTAAAGGCGTACGTATACTTGCACCAGCTCGATTCGTCTGTTCTTGATACCTGAAGGGTCCTTCAGACAGAAACTTCGAGCTGTGACGGGCGCTTGTAATTACTGAGCTCTCCAGAAGTGGGTAGAAGTGGAAGAGTGCTGTAAACCAAGATACGGTAGATGGCACTTCCGCAAAGTCCAATAAAACGAGTGCTTGTCCCCTCTATCGTTTGGTCGTGAAGGTTTCGAAGCCATTTTTTTTTTGTTTTTTAAACTATCGCATTAAAAAATCTATTCAGTTTTTCTTTAAGATGCCCCCATTTATGCCTTCGCCTGAACGTAAGGAAAATTGGCGTCATTCATCCTTTCTTTTGTTTTCAGCTAAAAAACTGGAGAACAATAACTAATGATCATCGCAACTTTTCACCTGCTGCTCCGCTGGTGCTGCTCCGCTGGCTTACTCGATCCTCACAGGACTGAAGGAACAAATAATGATAAGCTGAGAAAGATCCCTGCAAGCTTAAACTTCGAAACACAGCATGGCCTTTGTATTTAGTCTGAATTCATCACAGAAATGGCTGGTAGATGTGCTAATGTGCCGCAGTGCACCATGTTGCGGCGAGGACGCTTGTAATGTTTGTACTTGCGGTTTATTGGCCGCTAAATTTGCCATCATCCTTCTTTTTCTTCCTCGTTTTTTTATGCAAAGCTGGTGGCTCGCCATTTTCACAAAATTTGTTCCCATTTCAAGCGCGTAACTAGATATAGCCGCAGGATCGGTTCGTGAGTCACGTGAGCTACGTGACATGTAAGAATCAACAGTGCAGCGTCTCATTTACAATCACCCTGCCTCTTGCCTGCAGAGCGAGGGAGTCCAGTTCACGCCTCAGAACCTCGGTATGTAATATTAGTAGAGCATGCTTAGCTTTGCTGCACTTTTTTTTTCTAGCTCAGTACTTCTTCTAATAGCAAAACTTCTTCCTCCGGGAAGCGCATCGTATTGCACATAAGTGTTTCTGCTTTTCCTTATATCTCTAGACGTGCAAAAGGGCAGCTTTGTTTGTAAGGTACGGGATTTCGTTGTAAACATAAAAGTACATAATCACAAGCACTTGTCTATATTTCTGTGGCTACAAAAGTGCATTTGATCGCACTTGAAAATGTGGATGATCAGCTCTTGATGGAGCAAATCATTCTCTAGAATGCTGGCTAAGAGTCATTACAAGAAAAAAGGAAAGAAAGGTCGAAAAGCATTGGGCTCTATTTGAGGGCGTGCAGCCTGTGCATGAGACCGCTTTTGAACGTCTATAGACTCTTGCATCGAGCTAGAGTATATACTTCTTTTGGCTATTTAAAGTGTTTGATTCTTTTAGCCATACAGACTAGCAAAGCAAATCTAGTCGGCATATGAATAGGCTTATGCCCACGTCCACCTCCCTTGTATTCCTTTTCTTTGTTTTCACTGTTAGGCTTTCCTGCCCCTCTATGCTTTATTTGAAACAAATTATCTGGGAATTCCAGTACCTGAACACCTTCATAATTTATTCTTTCAAAGCAGCCGTAACTGCCACCTAGACACCTTATTATGTACGTATTACTGGTCCTGCAAAATCCCTAGTCTGTAAGACAGGTATAGAAAAAATACTGCACGCAAAACAGTGGTC